CATTGGCTTTGAAGACATCCTCAATCTCCCCGACATGTGTGAGGCAGCCGCACAGCCTCATGCTGTTGTAGAAAGATCACTTGGTTTATTGTAAAACTTAATGGTTGTTAATTATCAACTTTTTAAATGTACATTTTCTATTAAAATGATTAAATAAGTACTGCCTTGTTTGATTTATTTTTTGACACCGAAATTTTTTCTAAAGTCTGTTTTTTGAAACTCTGGGTTTTCTAAGATCTTAAATGTATTAAAGGACTTAAAACATGAGGGACTCATATTATAATTTTAAAAAAATTGATCTTATTGTACATGTTCATTAGTTACAATGTTGAGAATTCTTAATTTGCATATTTTCTTTACTTCATTAATGCCGGTTTGCACTTCCTGGTCATAATTATTGTTGTAACGATTTTTCAATCCATCCAATATTGACTGAACTTTGTTTTCTCTTGCACAAATTATGAACGGGAATCCGAATTTTGATTTGTATCTATAGGAGAAAGGAAAATAATTAGAATCACCGCCATCTAGTTGCGATATTAGAAACTATAATGATCGCAAGATTACAGAAAATTCTTCCCAAAACAGTTGTTGGAAACTGATACTAGATGTCGCTACATGTTATTCAATATTGCATCAATTAAAAGCTGCTGCAAAAAAACTTAATATTACTACCGCGTGTTTCTATCATCCATTATTCGCTTTTGTTCTTGGGTTAGATCATTCAATCCAGCGCTTCGTTGCTCTTCCGTTGATTCTGGAGTTAATTCTCCTTGTTGAGCCAATCTTCCTGCTAGATCTGGATGTGATTTCAATACTGCCAATTTTTCTGAAATAATAATTTGATTTTCATCTTCATTCAATGAACTAGAATTTTAAATTAACACTAAATTATTACCCTACTATAATTGTTCACTTTTATTTTAAAAAGATAGTCAACATCGGTCAATGATGTGAATTATTGTCAATATATAGATTTTACAATACTTAAAGCAAATATACATTATTTCAGTAATACTAGTTCACGGATTATTCAATGCTATTCTTATTCAAACTCCAAATTCCCCTGTTTAATGACAAAACAAACAACTAAAAAGTAGTTAAAAAACAATAACCTTCTTCATTGATATCGTCCAAGTACTTTTGAAACGCATCACAAAGTTCATTGACGTTTTTAAACGGCCGTAACTTTTTTATCATCACTGGAGCACCTTTGCAATGTTCTATTACATTTCCGAAAACCGTCTCGAATTGATTTTCATTCAATGAATTAACTTCCGAAATTGTTAGAGACGTCATTGTTTTTTAGTGCACGCTAACTGAACAATATTGATATACTGACAGAGCTGGAATTATCAGTCAAGTCGCGTTATCACCAGTTGTCATAGGTCATTAGTTATGTTCATACAAGTTAAAGCGCAAACAATAAGTACTGTTTGTTAAATTGAGAATTTGTTTTTTGATAAAATTCTATTCTTTAATTAGAGGTTTTGAAAAGGTATGAATAAAATTATAGTAACCGAGCCGAGATTGTTAAAATATTAAAATCTTCGATAACTGACAAATAAATGGACTTTGTTATAAATAAAACTCACTCGGATTTATTTCTTCCACGACTTACATTTATACAACTCTAGTTTATACTGAACAGTCCGACTTTTCAGTTAGAATTGTACATTTAAAACTGAACGTGTGTACCAGACATTATGTATGTTATTGGGTTATTATTAAAGGAATTAAATCACCTTTGAAAAACATAAAGAGAAAGCACGGATGTTATTATTCAATCGACAATTTAACTATTACCACATAGTTCGGCAATTTTTAGTTACTCAATCATCCGCTAAGAAGAAACAAAAAGGACATTTATTTGGCAGCAGTTTGTCGAGCTGAGAGCGAAGAGGGAGAGAGGAATAAATCACAGAGGCGTTGGCACTGGTTATAACGAGCCCTGAGGGAGCGCTACGCCCGCGGGGGCCCGTTGTCGCCTCGCTTGTAATATTAATGCAAACCCATTTAATACACATCGAAATTTGATCCGTACGCTCGCTCTACGTTGTCAAAAACAAATTTAACATGGTAAAGTTAAATTAATACAAGGGACTTCTTCAAAATTAGGAAACATTAATGAAACTAGCTATCCAAAAAACTAAAAAGTTCAATTGACGATTGATACCACACTGTTGCTGGTTGTACATTTCTGTTTACGTTTCAGATATAGCCGGTCACAATGGAATCACTTACTTATTTACTTAAGTCTTAAGAGCGTGGGCACAGCTTTGACTAATAATAATAATATTATAATAATTGCTTCGAACAGCATCTCAAGAAGCTCTCGCTAGACAGTTGGATTAAGGGCCCGATACAAAAGGCGGTTATTTTAGAAACCGCACGACTAGTGAGGAGGTTCCTGTCTCTGCAGCCCTGACCACTGGTTGCTTGAGTCATCGGATTCCGCAGCCGGTGGAGTTCTATTTTTTTATACAGTATGTTTTATTTAATTTTTTATATATATGAAAATCATGCAAAATATATTATATGTAAAAATAAGTAATTAAAGATATATGTTATAATAATTGATTTATGTCAAATATCTAAACTATCGTACAACTGTTGTGTTATTGTCGATTGTTTCGCAGACAATTCAACTGTTTAGTTGCACAACTAAAAATCGAATAGTGTGCACACTTTAAGCTCATAAGAATCAAAGCAAGACTAAACAGTTACGGGATAGTTTAGTTTTAGGTGTGCACGCTCTAATACTAACCTGCATAATACGCGAAAAATATCTGTCAAAATAGTTTTCGAAAAAAAGATAGATGCCACATTGATATTACCTCTTGAAGACCTACTTTGGCCTTTTGATCTTAGCCGTAAACAAGCGTCGCCAACTGATGATCGATCCTAGCTTTAAAAGGAAGGAGGTTGCTGTCGTTAATATAGTCTTATTTGGAATATAGTGTTCGTAATATACGGGTTTCTTACCACGATTGAGGTATTTTAGCTTCCCATATTTAAGCATATGCGCCATGTTTACGGGCTTCTTATATCAGCAGCTAAAACAACCAAATCGTGGTAAGAAACCCGTATATTACGAAGATTATATATTATTCGTAAAAACCACGACAGTGTAAAGTTATTTATTTGGAATAGTTTTTATTTTTTTCCTTTTTGATCTCTAGGGCACCTGGCCTCGTCCCGGCGTCACTCATGGCCGTACGCTAAACATAAATTGTAAATAACTTCTATATTCATTATCTGAATAAAACGTTATTTATTATGAATATAACATAATAATTGACGACCTTAGAAGCTAGATGTTATTAGGGACGATTAATAAATATTAAAATAACATATCTATGCTAAATAGAAACTGTGGTCTAAAGAAATGATGGACCAGTGTTTGCACTGCTCCTGTGGACTGCATGTGCTATGAAAAGATACTTAAAGAATAACTTGAATCGTGTTTTTGCATCTAAAGTTTAGTATGTTCGTTCGTTGGAATTATTAGTAATTTCTAACATCATTAACTGAATAAAACGAATCCATTATTTCGACACACTCAAGGAAGATATTAAACGATTGAATCTACGTAATTAATCGTATCCTTATATCGCAACTTTTACCAAAAAGACCTATGAACATTATTACAGTTATATGAAAAGAAATTACAATCTCTTCTTAAGGAGTCTGGTCATAAGAGGTTTTAAGTTAAGCCTAATTGGTTTTATATAAATTTTTTGCCACCTTATATTGTGTTAAAAATGTTTACTTATGCAAATTTTCTTTTAAACATTAGTTTTTTTACGTAAAAAAGCTTTTTCGATGGGATAAGGCTTAAACCTTATGTAATTACATACCTTAAGGCTAGCATTTCCACCTGTTTGAAGTGGTTATTTTAGGCTTAATGTATTAGGTCAGTTATTGGTTTTTAGCACATTTAATTTTCCATGAATATAATAGTATTTAGAAAGAAATAAATTATATTGTAGCTACGCTATTTCTTTATTCCCCCTAATGATTTGATATCTTGTCCTTTGACTATAAGTTTTAACTTTATGTGCTTCTTTACATCAAGTAATTTCAAATTTCATCGTTCGTTATCGTTATATCTTAAAAAATAGGAAAAACTTCGCTACATGTATTTTGAGTAGGATATACCTAACTGTACGATTATAAAATGTCAAAGAATGTCATAAGGAATAATTTGTTGTTATCTCATAGATAAGAAAAGATAACATTATATACCTACCTAGCAAGTTTCACGAACATCAAATATCATAAACATAAAGAAATAAATATTTTTTATTGTATCTCATTTATTTATTTACAAAACATTTTGCTTCAGCAAATAGCAGTTCCTATAAATAAATTATTTATCTCTCGATTTTCCATATCAAATCTCTTGTGTAATGTTAGTTTATATCCTAAACAATAAAAGCAATTTCATTAAGTGAAAAGTTATGTGTCGTAATCACAATCTACCTACATTAGCTCACGTCAATGCTGAAGTTATTTATAAAACAAACCATCACGCGTGGTGACACTCATGAGAAATCAGTAACGTGCTTTTAAATGATATTGAAACAATAAACATAAAAGCTGAGCCACGGACGCGTGTGATCGCCGTGAATTAATTAAAAGTGGGTTTTCATTAGATCCATAAACGTCATTCGGTCGGCAGCCATGTTGCGCGGCGGCCGCCAGGGGCGGGGCCTGCGCACAGATAACAAAAGCTATAAGTAATCTGTACGTGCGTCCGACCGTCGAACGTCGACCGGAGCCTCACGCTACCTGCCTTTCGATACGTGCCAATGCATTATCTATACTTTTTTATTTAAAAATAAGCATCCGACATTCTATTGGTTGTTAGAACTTATAATGTTTTTGAAAATTGCTTATACTCTACTTCCGCTATTAGGTTTATTTTAGACATTTCATGAAATAAGTCTTAACTTATTTTTCACAACTTTATTTTTTCAAATCATTGTTGCGACAAACAAAACTACGAGCCTGATCGCAAATTGACTTTAGAGGATGAGGCTTTGACATTATATAGTCAAAAAGACCTTTATTAATCCCAAAGAAGGAGGTTCTTTTAAACCATAATTACAACTACCCTTATTATATAATATTGAACATTTAATTCAATCAAGAATTTTAATTTTGAATCTAACACACATAATGAACTATAGGTAGGTATACAAATTGACACGAAAATAGTACATTGAAATAGGATCAAATCTCAAAATTAACTATACATTTCTTCTCAAAACACGTTTGGGATAAAATTTGTTGGTTGTCTCAACGATGACATTAGTATATACTCACGATGGTGTATCAGTTATCGCTTCATAGACGTATGGCTATAAAACCCTTTTGGTAACACGTGATGTCTCGTGATTTATAGCAAAAGTCGGGCCACGACACTGTATCTCAAGTTTACTTTAGACAATCCGGTTCACAATACGTCGAATAATTTATTTACACTACAGGGTAAACTGGAGACCTTTTATCTCTTTGTTGGGGACTTTTAGGTCAGATAAAATAGATAATGTGTTTCTTTATGTTGGCTAAATCGTAAAGTTGAGCGCGTTGGCGTCATGGGGCGTCGTGTCGTTAAATCGTAGAAGGGTTGACGCGGTGTCATGATTTTGTTTTTTTGGATTGCACTCTATGAAAAGTTAGGAATAGAATAACTAATAAAACAATTGCACTAATTTATAATAAAGAACAGTTCCAAATTTAAAAAAGGTAATATAACAATAGGTATAAGTAGTGCTGCTTATTAGCGTTCAAATATTATCAGGGATTTTTATTTTATTATTATACTATTTTTGTGAAATACTAAAATTAACATTTTACGCGTTCCTTAATTGTCATGCATGTCCGCACCTAACCTTAATCGCGTGACAACAAAGAAGCGCCATATTTTAATAGGACATTTCCTTTTGGTTTATGTTTTCGTTACTTATATGTATGTTCGACAATACCATAGGTATTCTGCTAACACATGTAATAATATGTTTTAAATTTTCTAAATCTAGTTAATAAAAAGAGATCATACTACTCTGTAGATATTTTACAAGCAGCGAAATCGCAAGGGAAATATTTCAGCGCATTTGTAATCGCAACGCTGAATGTTATGACTGCATTTTAGATTTTCATATAGTAGTGCCCAAAGTCCCGTCTTTTTGGGACACACGGCTCATAAATCCAGCTTCAATTTAAGCCATATATATTTATATTTAAACTAGTTTTCGCCAGCGACTCCGTCCGCGTAAAATTAAATAAAAAAAAACAAAAGTGAGTTGCCTATGTGTTATTCCAGACTATCACCTACGCCTATGCCGAATTTCATC